ATTTAAAGAGCCTATCCATTAGCTGGGCCTAGATATATATATATAGAGAGAGAGAGAGAGAACGTTAAAAACAAAACTGGAACAGCGCTGCTTCATTCTCTGAACTTTCTGCATTTGGGCTGGGAAATCTATTTCCGAACGGCGAACGAAAGCCAACAAATCCATGGGCCGCAAAGCTATTCCTGCTTGCGCTTTCTTAAAGTATAGCGAACTTTTCACATTGTGTGTTTAAAATAAGCTGCAGAATGACCATGGGCGAGAAGACCGCAATCTCTCGCAAAAGGGGACCGTGCGCGTTTAACAGGCCGAGATAGGGTAATGTCCCTTTAAAAGGGAGGTGGATTAGCAGTGTGTCCCAGCCTTGGTCGCAGCGTCGCGGTTCACGAGTCAAGTTCAAGCCGGCGGCTCTCCCGAGCTGCTCGGCCATTACCGCTATGATCACACACACTTGGCTCCCCGCTTGAACTTGGACTCGAAATGTACGTCGCCAATGCACACGTATACAGATCACGCACAAATTCATTTCAGCTGGCTGCTCACATATGGGAAATCTGCCAAGCTCAGCGCTTTTGCTTTCTGTCTCTCTCTTCCCCCCTCCCGCCCCATCCCCTCCCCTTTAAACACCACAAAATCTTGGCACAAACCCGATCGCATAAGCAACAGAGAGAAGCACAGACACACCGGAACCAACACACAGCCCGAGCAAGACGGTGCATTAAAATATACGTACCATTGCCATGTGAAAGTACGTAATCAACTTGCACTCGAATTAGAAGCTTGTCTAACGTCTCATTTGCATTCCTTTGCAATTTTCCTGCTTCATCCGGAGGAATATCTGCCCTCGGTCTTGGCTCTGTGTTGTGCTGTGTGTGCGGGCTATTTTTTTTCCCCTCTCGCTGTCTCTCCCTCTCGCTGCTTTCTAACACATCCGATGGAAAAGTGAAGGCAACCGGCGGATCCTGATTGCCCAGGAGAAAGATGGGGGAGGGCTGCCTTGGCCGCTTTAGTGATGAATTGATGGCGTAGTATAAAAATATTACAGAAGTAAAGGGAGCGAGCGAGGCGTGCTGTTTATTTCCGCAATGGCTTATTTGCATAAGGAAATCACATCATTACCATAAGGTCTGAGCTTTTTGCACACATCCATCGCTATAAAGAGAATACTGTGTGCCTGGATTCTGCCAGGGTTATCAAGCCATGTCTGTCCGCACCGCAATCTTTTGCTAAATTCGAGGTTCGAACGGCGTTTGCACAAATGCTGCCAATAATCTTAAAGCGGGGAACACGTGGTGCTGGACGGGGGCGATGTAGCCATTCTTTAAACCTTTTGGGGCAAGAGAGTTTATCACCACAGCAAAATAAATCAAGGTCACTCAAATAAATAGTGCCGATTTCCTAATGACTTCAGGACAAATATGTTGAAATACATATAGACATTTCTCAACTAAGTTAACTTTTTTCGAGTGACAACAAACGATTAGCTTTCGCTTCCCAAAAGCATCAAGGTGATCTGTGGAAATCAAAATTTGAATCGACTTAGTAACATCGGGACATTATTTATTTTAAAACTGAAAAAAATAAACTCTAACATGTAGTCCAACCTATTTGTCTGGCCTCAAGAACGTCTCTAATATTTATCAGGAAAACCGCTTTTGACATTGAAATCGCGACCGTCCGGAAAATAAGTAGGATCAATTGGGAATGAACTTTCCATTACTTATTGTTCAACAATCTCGTTTGCAATTGTTTGGGTTGGGGGTGGGGGGTGGGGATTGTGGGTGGTCGGCGGGGGGAGGCTGCTTGGAAGTCCTTTTAAAATACATCCCTAATTGCAGAAGAGAACATTCACTTAAAATAGTTTTATCACAGAAGCCACTTCAATGTCTACATCCAACTCCATACCTTTCCATAACAGTAGGCCATTCAACCCCTTCAGTCTGTAATTCAAATGAATTGCGGCTGAAATATACTTAAACTCTATTTACCATCGTCTATGTCATATCCATTAATATCCTTACACGATAAACTATTGCTTTCAGCCTTGACATCTTTAATTGACCCAGTAATTTTTGGTGGAAAAGGGTCTCAGATTTACTGATTGATGTTCAGACAATGTGTTCAACAGTGCTTCCTGATTTCGCCCTTCTAATTTTAAGATAATTTTGAGGAACCCCTTACCAAAGGGTATTGTTTGTCTACATCCATTTGCACATTTTTTTCATCCTTTATTAAATACTTCGGTTAGATCACTGCTTAACCATATACAGTACACGGCAAACTTTGGAGCAAGTCTGCCTCACTAGCTTCCCCGGATCATACAACAACACAATTCATTTCATTGTAAAATAAGTTATTGATAAAACATTAAGATACAAATGTCACACTTAAAAATGCAAGGACTGGCAAATGTAACATAAGAATCGATGAGACGGAAATCGCGAGGAGCATCTGTGTAATCATTTGAAGTCCACAAAATTGAGAATAATAGAAAATAATTTCCTCTGCTTAGTGTCATCGATTGACAGAATATTGCAATCCTTTATATACATTTCAGGAAACGTACCCAGGTTACAATGAATCTGAAGCTGAGTTTACGCATCAAAAGCGGCATTTTTTGTGGAACAGATGGCAGCTTGTTCCAGGCAAAGTTAAACCGATTGAAAAAATGCTGCTGCACCTGTTCTTAGCGGAGGTGGTATCTATATTGTAACTCCTCGAATACTGGACTATCATCAGCCACTGACGACCTTTAAATGATAGTAATTATCATTGACATACAGAGATAAACTGTTCTGTTACTGCTGTAACGCTCACACCAGATTGGTGAGATAAGCATTTAATTTTAAATTAAAAATGCAAATCTATTCTCGATTTGTACTTTTCAACAGAAAAAATCTGGCGGAAGTCAGATCCTTGCACTGCATTCTGTGTAGAACAGGCAAGAAATAAGGATTGAGATTAGTGGTCCCATCACAACTGGATCTTCTAACTGGTTCCAGTGTCTTTTAGTTAGGGAAATGCCCATTTCACCTCTCTGCTTTCTTAGATTTATAAATGACACCCGATTAGTACTTTGATTTTGTTTTCTCACTCAAGCGATGTTTATTTATCATTCAATGCGCTAAGTATCAACTAATTTATTATTGCAGTGAATAGAATTGAACTAACGTAACGAAATTTTGAAACCCCAAAGCAATCCTTAATTTCAACTTGCTGTTTTGGGGTAAATTGTATGATGTTCACTTTCCGTGTGCGATACACAAAATCAAAACTCATGATTTCGAGGACAGTAAAACAAAAAAGAATCCCCACTTTCTCACTGAGAATAAAGTAACACTTAAAACTTGAGCAACAACTAACTAAGGGGGAAGTACAGCATCAAACAAAAATTACACTGCACCCACAAAAAATGAGTACAAAGACGGAGGGGAATTACAACGAATTGATTTTCTGCATCCCTTATTTATAGAACTGGGCTTTCCCCTGACACTACGTTATAAACAGTAAAGATAAAAAAGTTGAGAATTTTTGTAAGACTTTAATTTAAAAGACAAAAAAAAACACCCGGGTGACTTGGTAACTGCAAATACACCTGTGGGTTTCACCGCACACACCTGGCCTTTACCAAGCGGATAATAAGCACCAAGCATTTCCTCCGCCTTGGGGTTGATTTTCTTGCATCTTGTCCGCCATCAGTCTATGCGTTGCAATGCAGTTATTCCAGATTCCGGTCAAATATTAATGTCGTTATTGCTGCCTTTTTTTTTCAAAAAAATATATACCTGCAGATATCTTTTACGTCAGTATGAAGTACAAGTGGCGATTTGTGCAACTGGATAAATAATCGTGGCTTGTTTCACAAACCCATCAACCTTGCGGTGATGCGCTTCAGTATGTGAATTTGAAACAAAAAAAAAGTTGTGGGAATGTTTACATTTCATTTCTTCTTATGTCCACGCTTATGACATGAACTCGAAGAATAATTGGGACTATACATTTGTAATCTATCACCCCGGTAGGGATCCGAAAATGACAGGATGCTTCATACTGGGCACCAGTCATGTTTACCAGGTCGAAGATTCTAATTACTCAACCACATTGTTTCTGAATGGGAATGGCTTCAGTTCAGTTCATTTAGCGCATCTCGCATCCAGAGGAACCCAAAACATTGGAAACAATGTATATGATGCCTTTTCTTTGCGATATTCCTTCGATGATTTATACAGGTTGAGATTCAACTGGTCTTTTCTACATTACATAATAAATCAGTGGAGTTCTTAAAAGCGGAGTAACTAATATTCAAAACTATGCAAATAACACAATCACTTACCACTATTATAATAAAAGCATTCTGCTAGATCATAAGGTCTCAAATACTTCGGTCAGATCACGGCTTAACCATACACAGTACACGGCAAACTTTGGAGCAAGTCTGCCTCACTAGCTTCCCCGGGTCATACAACAACACAATTCATTTCATTGTAAAATAAATTATTGATAAAACATTAAGACACAAATGTCACACTTAAAAATGCAACAGAAAGAGAGATTCAGGTTTAAAAAAAAGACATTGAGATTTGGGGTCAGCAAAATGCCTGGTCTGCATGCTGTCGTAAAGGCTCATGAAGGGATCAAATATTGGAGTTCAAAGAGAAAACTTATAAGATAAACTTCGAAGTTCCGCAGTGCCACAGGATTTATGAGTTTGTCAGAGAAAGTGCGCACATTTGCGATTGTTTAACTCAGAAATATTTTAACAAATATTTGTAACTAACATTTTCTTTTAAAAGACAATGGGGGTGTGTTTGTGGCGGAATGGAGGTGGTGCAGAGCGGCCCAGGTTTCCAGACAATGATTATACTACATGACTCCCTGGGGAGAAGCCAACATTGGGAAGCGGTAACGGGCAGAGGGAGGGACGAGTAAGTTTTGACAGTGTGCAGGATCCGGAAACACAATCCAAGTACTGTAAGTGCTACCAAATATTTCCAGTAAAACTTCAATAAATATTTAAACAGCGCAACTCAAAAAATTAACTGAGGCTCGCTGCTTGGTTAGCATTCGCGAATGGAATGCACTTTATTAAAGTTTGTATTCTCCACCTCATTTTAGAACAACAGTCGATAAAGATTCTTTAACACGTCGCACCAAAGCTGCTGGTTATGAATATTTAATAAAACTATGCTCGCTGTATGAACACGATTACACTTTACATTATTGATAACTGTAAATTAGGGAACAGGAGTCAGAAAATGGAGTTTCGCGAATAGGTGAGAGCTAAAGAGCTGCGCAGATTTGAGGCTTCACTTCCCATGCAAGTTTGAGGAAAGATCCAGATTTCTGCACATTTTAATTTTTCAAACAAGCAAACGATGCACTTTTCTATCGAAGGTTAATTGGGAAAAAAACGTATTTTATATTGAACTGTAGAAATGTTCATTGATAATCAATAGATTTTTTTGGAATCTTAAGAAAATCGGGCGAAGACAAAGAGCGGAGGTTAAATGCCAGCCATGATCTCACTGAAAGGCACTGGGTTTGAGGGGCGCTATGATCTGCTCCGAGTTCCTGATTTTATAACTACAGAGAGTAAAAACAAAATTCTGACGGTGAAATGGGCCTCCGTGATTTTGCACTGTTCAGCATCAGTGCATTTATTTGAGTACAACACAGACACCAGTCCTTTCATTTGTGTGGCATCAGGTACACGATTGACCAGCACCTGCTGCGTGTTAGGCACCATTGATGAGAGACAGGGAAGTCTTAAACAGGAGAAACCTATACAGTAACAGGCAGTGTTGTTGCGCACTGCCATGTGCAATGCAATATTATCAATATCACTTCAGTACTAATCATGGGTATCATTGCAAAAATACCACCGTCTGCGCAATCCTGAGTGATGGTGCAGTTTAAGAGATTTTCACGCAATGGGAACGAAGTTAATACAACGCAGCAGTTACTGAATGTTAATCCAAACTCAATCTACACAAAAGACACTACAATCTCTAATGGGTGATATAACACTTACTCTTAAATGGCTGTCTCACTGATAACCACTGCAAAACATTCCCTTCCAGAATTATAGCAAAATAGTGTGGATACTTGAATTTGAAATAAAAACGGAATGCTGGAGACACTCAGTGGGTCTGGCAGCGTTTGTGGAGAGAAAGAGAGTGGGAGTTAAAGTTTTGGGTCGAGAATGACTTCTTCGATTTCCGAGGAGGTCGGATTGGACTCAGTGTTGACTCTGATTTTCTCTCCATAGATGCTGCTGGAGCTGCTGAGTTTCTTCAGGATTTTGTTTCCTTCTCGATGTTTGTACAGCATTGAGAGACATTGACTGTTTAATCCACTTCTGACAACTGCGTTAAATGTCACCTTAAAACTGTAAATAGGACCCTCCACTTGTTCAGCACTTTATCACAAATACAGGCAAACGGGACTGGTTTAGTTTGGGAAACCTGGTTGGCGTGGACGTGTTGGACCAAATGTGTCTGTTTCCGTTTTGTAAGGCTCTATGACATCTATACTGGGCTGGTACGACTCCATGTGGTGAAAAGGTGTTGCCAATGACTAAAAGTTGAGTTTGCGGAAGAATCACCACATAAGTAAGAAGAAAGTACTAAAGGGAATGGAAGCAAACACACTTTCTGACATAAAAAAGTCGGGGGTGGGGGTGGGGGGCGGGGTTGGAAATCACTTTAAGTCTTAATTTATTAAGTCGGACCATTATTCCTGCTGACACTGATGCCGAGGGATACAATGGTACCGACTTAATAACTCCAACCGTGAAATGAAACAAGTTCAAAAGGAATTGTTGTATTATCATCTCACAGCGAATTACCACAGTGAACGCCCTAAGAAACAATTCAAAGTAAATTTGATACCGTTTCTGACTGAAATTCAACTAGAATAAGTAGCTGGCATCCGCAGGTGAGAGATGAAGAGAGAAGTTCAGATTCAAAGAGCCCTACAACTGGCACTAGTTGAACAGTTCTCACTCCAAATTAATCTTTTAATTTGAAATGTATTCTACGTGTCTGTCTCTGCTATAATTCCAGCTGACAATGAATTTATGTCAAGCCAATATGATTCAAGTGCATAATTAATAAAATGCATTAAGAGCTGTCTCATCCCTTCCTTTCATATTACAGTCGTGTAAGGAAGTACTGCAGCATTCGTGAGGCACAGCACGTACCATTGTATACGTTAATATCTCCACAGCCTGGGCTAATTTCACCTTGTAGTGAAGACCTATCCAACATCAGAATCGCTACCTGGCCATTTTGAAGCTGAATCAACTGCAAGTAAGCAGGGGGACAACTTGAGATAGCCATCTACCTAATAGGAAACCCAACGTGGCACCAGGTAACTTTAATTTTCCTGTCTTCAACCACTTCCTTTCAGAACCAAGACATATTAATGATAAATCTTAGCAGCAACTCATGATGCCATAGCTGAGACTGAGAGCACACATCATGTAATTTCATTGCAAAATCTGCTGGCTTTCTGATATATTCCATTATTCAAAATTATTTTACAATATCATCAAAAAATTGCACTGAAGGCAGTTACATTTTTTTCTTATCTAGAGAGTAGCTGCAAACCCATGATCTGAACACTGCTCTGCAGAAGTTTTTGTACTACATTGAAATAACATGCTTACATCCCAGAGGGATGGCAATGAATTACAAGCCATTGGCTTTGAACACACCATTCAAGTTTGATTGCAGACTGGGTAGTTCTGTACCCTCACCAGGGTCTCCGTGGATTTTACAAATAATATTTATGAAGAAATTAATAAATCCTTGGAGAAACCTTGTATTTTGCCCCCCTTTTGTTAATACAGGCAAAAGCCTGAACAAGTAGAACACATAAATGGATTGATGAATACATATTGTATTTTTTTCTGACATAAAATATACAGTTTATATAAAAAAAAGTCTAATTATTGACAGCTTGGCAATGCACATCCATGTATTAACAAATGATGAGGTAAAGTTAGTGACTGTGAGCCAATTTCCACAATTAATCTCCCTTTCTCCTGATAAGTCTCTGTTACATTTATCATAACAATGGATGTTAACTCTGGCTCACTTATGGACATATTAAATTTTTAATTACAATTTGTGCTTTTTTTTAAAGAGAACATGCAGCCAAAAGATGTCTATGGATCTAAATTCAATAGTTATCTGGCAAAGTCATGAATGAACCCATGGAAAGTCACACCTGTAAAATGTCAGGTAAGTTTCAAACGGCGAGAATTAAAAGGAAGGGGTAATGAAGGGCTGTTTATCCCTCTCAGCAGAAATCCATCTACTGGATATTATGTCCCAAACATGATTTTTTTTAAATCCTTCCAGGAATATACAAAACAAGAAGGTCTTAAATCAAACTACAGATCCTAATCTGCACATGTTTGTGGGCTAATATGCTAGTACGGACTAGTGTACCATGGAGCTCACAGGTTGAGGAAAGCCATTATACAGGCCTACACTGCATGGAAAGGAAAGACCATCTTATCACTCTGAGAAGGAAACTGGACAAAAGCCTGAGGCTACCTGCAGAGGGAAGAACCTTGAAATCAACTGCTCCACTATCAATATCTGCATTACTGATATTATTCAAATTAACAGTCACAACATTCCATCATCTGCTCTTCACGAAACCCAAAGAGTGATTCATACACATTTTTAACAGTTATTGCTTTACTCAATTCAAATTTCCAACTTGTATGTATCAATTTTATTATCTTTCCTTACCTTTGATAGTTAATAAATGTACCTTTGCTTCAACTTAAGAAAGCCAAGTTAATTAGTTTCCTTCTAAAACATAGACACATTCAGATTATGAAAATGTATTCATGAGGGAAGGGATCCTTTTCTAAATTAAACTTGTGGCGACCAACCAATGGCAGGGTTGAATTAAGAACAGAAATTGTAATAAATTGGGGACCCTCACTCAGGCATTGATCATAGTCACTTGGCTCATTTTTAAGTTATTAGCCATAGACAAGACAAACAAATTAAAGTGGGAAAAGTGAATTGTTCCTTCGTAACCAATTCTTAAAAACTGTAATTAGGCTTTCTTGAGGTTTTACTACTAATAAATAGAAATGTCTGCATTTTCTGCCAATGCTTTTCTATGAAAAAGAAGGAAAGTATTTAAAATTCTGTCCCTTGAACAGTTAAAAGAGTGAGGAAGGCACTCAGGATTAGAATTCTGCCTGAAAACGAGAAAACCCAAAATTTTAAAAGAGTTGGCCAATGGATTAAAATTGGTGACAATGAAATGTAACAATGTAACCCTGGGGTGGTGGAAGTTAGAATTTCTACCAAAGGAAAGAGAAAGGCAGAGGAAAGTGACAGGAGAACAGGAAAGAGAGAAAGAAGAAAGATCATGGACGAGAGAGAGTTTCAGGACAGGGAGTTTAAAATAAAAGAGGTCAACCTGAGGGCAGGACTCTTATTGTGTCCCTCGAGGAAATCACTGATTCTGGTTTATAGGCATAGGAAGCTTGGTTTGCTCATTTGATCCCTGGGTTTGATGACATAGAGGCGGAAGCCTTCTTTATCACTTTTGAGCAGTTAGTATGGCAGTTAAAGTGGCCATTCCAATGTTACTGTAAAAATTCAAGGAAATCTGACAAGCTTTGCTCCCACTTGGCTGAGGACAGTGCCGTTGACTGTGAGGCACCATAAAAGGCAATTTTAAGTCTGTACTAATTAGTGCTGGAGGTGTACAATTAGGTGTATAATTTTCAGGAAACAGTCTGACCAGATTGCCTGGAATTTGGAGGTTTTAAGCAGCTTGCTTTTGACCACTATGTATTGTTGATTAAAATGGAAGCCACTAACAAAGATCTCTGTGAAATAATTCTCCTTGAAGCATTTAAAAATTTCATGTGCTTCCCAATAAGAACACACCTACAGGAACAGAGCAGAACAGAGAGTAGGCAGTCACACTATGAGTTAATTGTATAGGAAAAGACCTGTCCTTAGTTGTTTCCAACCAACAGGAAAGCATAGACATAGAGAGTGTAATTAGAAATTCAGCATCCAAGGGGAGAAGAAATGCTGGCATACATTCTCATGATAGAAAGATGGTGCTGAATTGAAAAGTGAGGCAAGAAACCTATGTTTTTTAACTGCTAAAAAGTAGGACATTTCCAGTGGGATATATCAGAGCCCATACATGCTGTGCAGAGAATGGGATTTATTCAGAGACTACAGACCAGGCTATGACTCTAATATGTGGATACAAATGCCCTGCAAAGGTATTCCTTTGAGTACAGATGAAGAAAATCCCAGAGAGTTACAGCTATTAGTATCTAAAGGAAGAGTGGCCACATTCCCCAGGGTGAAATAAGCAAGCCTATAGTAATACTGAGTGATATGAGGGCCAGTCAAAGTCTACTGCTGTGAAAAGGCATGACCTTACTATCAGCAGTGAAAGTGCTCATTATCAGTGTTCTTTTGGAATCCAGGTTGATGTCTGTCAGGTTAGATGACTTTTCAGATGACTTTGGAACTCAATTTTTACACAGTGAGGTTGGGGGGTGGGGGTTGCATATTGTTGCATGGGGAAATGGAATTCACAACCCCAGCTTGGTTTCCTTTTTCTTCTCTCGCCATCATTCTGCCTCACAGCTGAGTCACTGAGCCTCAAGAGGGCATGTTCTTTGAAGGATCAGGAGGTGCCATGTCGAGTGGATGGCAACTTCCTCCCGCCAGTTAGTGGTGTCAAAGCCTTTGTGTTTTAGGTAAACTTATACCTTTTCCTTTGGCTGTCCTTTGACTTTTGAGAGATGTGAACTGCCAAGGGGGCTGATTTTCAGGCACCCAGATACAATAGACTGTCCAGCAAAGTAGATTCTTTAGGAGTAGGGCTTCAACGTTGATTGACAAAGCTTCATTGTTCTTGTTTAGCAAAGGGGTGGAAGGTTATCAGGGGTAGGTGGGAATGTAGATTTGAGGTTACAATCACATCAGCCATGATCTTATTGAATGGTGGAAAAGGTTTGAGGGGCTGGATGGGCTCGTCCTACTTCATATTCCTATCCTTGTACGTCCATGGACGACAGCCGTTTAGTCTGGAAGATCCTCCCATTTTATGCCCAGGATTCGACATAAGCATCACTAGTGCAGGCTCTTGAGCATTTTAATGTGATGTCAGCACACTGCTCACATTTAGCTGCAGTAATGGTGTGTGGTCAATGAAGCAGCCTTTTAAACCAAGACCTTGATTAACTTCTGGAGCTTTCTGTTGTCAAAAACATGTTATTGAAGTAAGTGTTAGCATGCTAGTAAAGGGGAAAAGGAATGGTACAAGCCCATTACTATATATGAGGTGCATCTTGGGTACAAACTTGTCTTGGGAGTAATAGTTGTGGGAGTAGACCTCAGGTTGCCTGTGACAAAGTTGACCTGCACACTAACAATGAATTGCCAGGATCCAAGTTAATAGCATCCCTAGTAGTTTCCTAGAAACCCACTGAGCTCAGGGAGATAAAACAGCTGCAGGAGAAGGTGCCTGGCACCTCCTCTGACTCTGATTACACAATCTATGACCAGAAAATTTCCATCAACAGAGGCTTAGATGGCACAGTGAACAGAATTTGGTTTGAATTAATTGCATAAATAGAGGGAGCTAGTAGTCACTGGGGTGAGTTTTACCGAGTATGGCTAACTGAAATAAGGCCCTCATAATTGTAACACAACGTCTTGATGAAATGCAAAGGAATGCTGCTTCTAAAAGACAGTGGCATAAATAAAACTCTCTGGGTCATTCTACACAGCATCAATGACCCCAAGTTTCTAGTTACACGCCACTTCAACACACCAGTGTGTTCCTTGGCCACTATTTACGTCTTGGGCCTGCTGTAGTGCTCCAGTGAGGCTTAGCACAGCATCTCATTTTCTGCTAGGGGACCCTGCAGCCTTTAGGACTCAAAACTGAGTTAAATAGTTTTAAACTCTGAAAACCTTCCTCTATGTCCTTTACTCACCCCACAGCCCAGGCCCAATCATGACATCGGCTGCTTTCAGCACAGCCAACCTGTTTTCACCTACTTATGGTCCCTGTTCTGAGGAAGGGTCACTCGACCCAAAATGTTAACTCTGATTTCTCTCCACGGATGCTGCCAGACCTGCTGAGCTCTTCCAGCAATTTCTGTTTATGGTTCCTATTATTCGCTTTTCTTTCTTCTGTGCACATTATTATCCATCCCTTTGTCATTACCTGTTGTTCTGTCTCTGGGGTCTATCTCTGCCTGTCCTCTCACTCCTTTGCAATCTCAATCCTCTGTCTTCAGCATAAATGCCACCTTATTTGAGATACCATCAGTTCTGAGGAAGATCACTTGACTCGAAATGTTAACTCTGCTAAACCTCCAGAGATTCTGCCAGACCTGCTGAGTTTCTCCAGCAATTTCTGTTTTTGTTTAATAAATTAGTGGCATCAGGATACTAAGAATTGATACATTAATGATAATAAGAGGTGTAGATACCGAAACGTCATCCTTCCTGCTCCTCTGATGCTGCTTGGCCTGCTGTGTTCATCCAGCTCTACACCTTGTTATCTCAGATTCTCCAGCATCTGCAGTTCCTACTATCTCTAGAATTGATGGTAGTTGGCTTTTCCCAAAATTGGGAAATTTCAAGACTTGGGGACATATTTTTAAGATGAGAAGAGAGACATTTAAAAAAGACATCAGAGGCAAATTTTTTACACAGAGGGTGGTTCGTGTCTGGAATGAACTTCCTGAGGAAGTGGTGGACGTGGGTACAATTACAACTTTTAAAAGACATTTGGATGGATATATGAATAGGAAAGATTTGGAGGGATATGGACCAGGAACAGGCAGGTGGGACTAATTTATTTTGGGATTATGTTCAGCATGGGCTGGTTGGACCAATGTGTCTATATCCATGCCATATGACTTGATGACTCTATGACTCTATGAACACCTTTTGTGATTAAATTATTTGATTGAGGTTGTCTGATACTGGTGACATGGTATCGCAAATATTTGTAACTATAAGCCTGTAGATGTATGAGATAATTTCATTGGCAATGTAATGGTTGACAATAGAATGTAAGAAATACAATAAACAATCTAAATTTTTTTAATCACATGTGGGCCTTGATGTTTGGCCAGCAATTTTATTCCCCGTCCCTAGCTGCCCTTGAGAAGGCGGTAGTGAGCTTTCTTCTTTAACCGCTGCAGTCCATGTGCTGTAGG